AAATATTTTAAATAATTAAAAAAGTAGATCAGAAATATATTTATAGTAATTATGCAGGCAAATTTGCCTGCAAATCTTTACCAATTAAGAGATAATATTTACTACTCTTGAGCTGCGTGTTTGCCTAATATTACGTGTATTTTGTTCTTTGATATTATTTTTTTTATTATTTTTTTGTGTTTTTGGTTAATTAGTTTTTTCATTTTTATTGTATTCATTATTTTTCATTTTCATTTTGTTAGTTGTATTTTTATAAAATATTTTAGTTATTTCTTGATTTTGTAGTTTGTTTTTATTATAATTTGTATTTTCATTATTTTTTTAGTTTTTGCACATTTCGATTTTTGAAAATTTGATCTTGAATCAGATTGATTAGAATTCATTTTATCTGAATTTGGTGTGTTTGTCATGGTTACGTTTTCAAGAGTTTTCTCAAATTGGTTAACGTTGACAGTATTTGATTTTGTTGTATTCATTGTGGTTGAATTTTTAGATTTTTCTTCTAAATCTTCAGTAATATCTCAATATGTGGCCAAAAGTCTAGATCATATTGGATTAGACGATAATGTTGAACTTTGATGATTGTTAGAGTATAGAGTTCTTTTTTTAGTAAGTGCTTGAATGTCAATATATAACATGTCTATTGTGTATATATAAAATTTGTTTTGAATGACTTCTAACTAGCTGACGACAAAAAGCATTAATTCATTAGAGCGAATAGAGTTTTTAAAATGTTTGAATCGAGAGTTTAAATATAGACAAGTAATTTTGATTACAAAGTAGTGTTCTTGAGTTGTGTAGTCTTTAATTGAGATCTTAACAACTGCATCTTCTTTGTTTTTAAGTTCTTAAGGGTATTTTGAATAACACCAACTAGGAAAGTGTTCAATAGACAATTGTCTGAATTGAATTGTCTATTGATTGTTTTGTCAATTGTAATGTGTGTTGATGCTGCAACGGCAGTATATAAAATCAATGTGCACATGTTTTTTTATCTTTACATATAAAATTTTGCCTTGTGCATGTTATACACATGTTTGTGCATATATTTTGTAATTCAGATTTTATATACTGCGCAATGCTCATCTGGATTTAGAATTATAATGAATAGGTAATATTAAATTTTTTTTTTTATTTTTTATTTTTTTTTAAGAGAGGTCTTTCCTCTATTCGCTTTATTATAAATATGATTAATCTACCAAAGTAGAAATACATATTCTTTTTGGGAATAAGAAGTTAGAGCTATCTACTATTTCTAATAAAATTTATTCATGACTCATTCTTAGCTAGAAGGGTCAAGACCTCTAAACTATGATATTAATTTTGTCAGTATTATATTTGGTCCATTGCCTGAGCCAATGAAGGAAATTTGCTTCAGCATTGTAAGTTTGATGGTTTTTGATATTTGCTTCTTATGTAGAGTTTTCTGGCAATTTTTGTTGTCTATTTTGTTTGTCTAATTTCTAGATTTTTTCATAAATCTGTTTTAGGATCTTATAGTGAACTTCAACTGCCCGTTTATGTCTTTGATTGCTTGGGTTGAATAGTGGGATCGTATCTTCTATAATAACTCCAAGGGAATCTTCTAGTCAATATGTGTTGTTATGAATTTTCTTATGAATCCATTTAGATCAGTTATTTCTAATTTATATTTGTTTTCTACTTTGTTTATAGTTTGGGTTAGTATATATCTCAGCTGTACAGTATTATGTGAGTATGATATTATGTATGCTATATCCTTTTGGGTATTACTACAAGAGGCACAGTTTAGATTCGGGTATTTTTTTGGATTCCTAAAGTAGAGGACTTGTAATTAGCTTTATTTTAAATATTTTTAATGCTGCTTGTGCTGAATTGGAAATTCTATTCCTGGGCTGATTTTGTAGCTAAAAAGCTCTAGGGTATGTCTTCACAACAAATCTGATACCTTTTTACTGATTTGGATGATTCTGTCTTGGTGTAGCCAACTTATTATTAGTTTTCTCTGAATAAGTTTCTTTGTTAAACTACTAAATGAGTAGGTACAAGAGAGATCAAAAACTCATGAGATAAAGTATGATTGTATTATTTAACTTGGGTCTAAACTGATTTCCAGATTAGTTGTTGTGGCTTGAAATGTCTGTTATTGCTTTTCTACCAAATTTATATGTATCTTAATTTCTTTATTTCTTATAATTTAATGTATAATATAGAGAACCCAATTAAGATTGGTTTTCCTATAATTGTTTAGATTAAATTCACTATTTTTGAGGTATTTTTCTAACTATTTGATATTGGTGTTTAGAGTAGTACTAGCTTAAAATAGTAAGATAATTAGTAAGATGGCTACTGCTATAAAAATATTGAATGTTGGTGATGGCCACTTTTGGTAAATATGATAAGGTCTAAGAGTGGATTGGAGGAAATGATATTTGCTGTTGGTTTTTTGTAGTGATTGTTTATTGTAATCTTTTGGGTTAAGTATATTTGGCTTTCTTTTTTATTAAATTTAGAATTTATAAATAATGACCAAATCACATCTTGATTGTTGGTAAAAATTTGTGATATTTGATGTGATACTTTATCTTTATTGTGAAAGCAATTTGTTGAATTTTTGCAGCCTCATTGCTCTGATTTGGCATTGTAATAAATAAGCTAGGTATATGTGCATATATTCCTAATTTTTTGTCTATTTATAATGGGTATGTTTTGTTTGTCACATGCTTGAAGGTATGTATATCTTACTCTTTGTAGAGTTTTGTCATTTTTTATACAACCTGGGCACCTAGTTATAGTTTGCTCATTGTTGTTTAATTTATAATGCTGTATGATTGCCATGTTCTGGCTAGTATAACTTTCCCAAACTCTTTTGTAAACATGATAATCCAAGTTTTTTTCTTCACTAGGTTGTTCTGAAAAAGAATAGGTTTGGATTAACCACCTGTTTAGATAGATTTGCATTGCTTCTAATTAGCTCCTGCACTTGGAAAAACTACTTTGGTGCTCTTTCTCTGGGTATTTTGCAGATGTTGTGATGAAACTGTTTCTAATCTAATAACTGATAGTTATATATATCTAAGAATTGTTTTATATAAGCTACGTTATGCTTATTGAGATTGGCTTTAGTTTGTTGAGGTTTTTTATCTTGGTTGATTAATGCATTAATTGAGGTACTGCTTAATGTATCAGGTAGGGGCCATGGGTTGTTGTTTCTTGTCAATTGGATTTGTAAATCATAGAGAGTAAGTATTATCTGTGCAGTATGTGTCTTGTAATGCTTAGACAGAAATGTGGGTCTTTTTGATAAGATTGACTTGTTGGTATTAGCTGTATTCTGGAGTTGCTACAACCTTATTTTAAGTATTGATTTATCAAATTCTTGGATATTGATTGAATGGTCTAGTGTTAGCATGTGTTGCTGCTGCAGAGTATATAGAAAAGACTATAAGCCATGGATGTCTAGATGATGTATGATTGAGTTCGGTATTACTTTGGCAAGTTTGGCCTTGTTTTTGACCAAACTAGTATATGTGTTAGTTATTCTGGTATACTGCGATTTACTTAGATAAGTACATTGAAGCTAGTATGCAGCACAGGTTAATATAACATTATTTATTATGTAAATTGCCTGCTTTGGCATTGCTTTTGCTAATTTTAGCTTATTAATATTGTATGTGACTTTATTAATAATCTGTTTTTGAACAAAATGTTAGAATAGATCTTGGGATAGCCAAATACCCAAGTGGCAGAAAACTGCATTTTTGTTGATGTTTTGTATTGTGTAACTACAAAATTCAATCGATGCATTTGTGTTATTATCATTGGTAATTAGGGTTGATTTGTTAGAATTTACTTTAATGTTGGCATATTGTAGAAAGAATTTAGTTATATCAAGTATTTGTTGTAATTCATTTTTGCTACTAGCAATCCAGATCGTGTCATCCATAAAGATAGTGACTGATATACTAACCAAAACTTGTTTGATAGAGCTATCTGCACTTAATAAGTAATTTTTAATTTCTTAACTAACTTTAGCTATAAGTGGATCATAGTAGATACACCACAGTATAGGGGAGATAGTTTCTTCCTGGTCTATACCATTCTGTACTTTATAAAACTGAGTAAATCTGAGGTCTGTAATAACACTATTAATGCGATATGTAAAAATTGAGAACAAAAGGTTCACAATCATGGTTGGTACTTTAATTCGCTATTGTGAAAGGGTGAATTGTAGCTTAAATTATTTTTTTGACGTAGCATATCGATGTGGGTCAGAAAAGATCTAACAGATCTGTCAGATCTGTTGAATATGCTAAATCTATCAGATATGTTGGATCTAGCATATATGTTAAATATATCATATATGTTATATATGTTAAATACGGACAACTCTTTCCGACGATCATCTGGACCATATTTTTCTGAAAAACTTTTTGACTAAAAAACAGTAACGTACTGCAAG